TCTCAGTGCTTAAATTTATTCGTTCCTCTTAATAGGCTAAGTGCTGTTTGCCCTAATCACTTGGAGCCAGGGACTATATAGTTTTATAGCACACCATGGACCACATCCCTTCATTTGAAGGAATAATGGTATAGGGCCCTCCCCTACCATTGGTGGCAATTGGGCCCTCCCCTAGGGGGTAACAGTAGAAGTAGCAGTGGTCACCTCTCCTCACTTTGGGATGAGAACAGGGGAATCTGGTAATTACCTTAGCAGCAAAGGTATATCCACTTGGTCAGGCCCATTACATGAAGGAGTCCAGTAAGGCCCATGGTCCTGGATTTAACTCCTCATTTTGATGTAGGAAGCAATTCATCCCAATCAAGACTACTGCTGAAAGCCACCTACAGATTTGAGAAGCACCACTGCATTAGTTATGTTCAGAGCACAGTTCTGAGTTATTCTTTGGAAGCCTAAAATAGCCTACTGTGCATTAAAGTACACATGTAGATGAGCCCAGTTTCTGTCTAATTGGTTGGAACCTTCCCTTAATTTATCCTTCATCTGTTTCTCAAAAGGTTTCTAGTCTCATTTGCTTAGTCCATCACAAAAAAGACTTTTGCTTTTTACTGATGCTACTTTACACTTTTACAGTATCGGGCAATAATTACTATTGTTGATTTTTACTTCTCTGCTAATGTTAAGCACTCAGAGTGAAAATTTCCAAGAAGTTTCAAAATAGGATTAGTCATTTATTTATGCGCAATTACTGTAGCTGAGATACAATTAGAGAGGCTATTATTCTTCATGATTCTGGCATCAGATGAAGTTAGAAAGTAACATCTTTTTCATAGTAGAGTTTTTTACAATGGTGTACATCCAGATGGTGAAGCAGCTTGCCTTTCCCTGTTTTCAGAAACAAGGAAAAAAAGTAGGTGAACCAAGACTCAATAGGCATTTCCTTCCACTCCACCTGTCCCAAACGTCTGTGCTATGCCATCCTTGGAGAAGAGTTAGCCAGCTAGTGGATGGATGTCTTATTATTAGATAGGAGAGTGTTTGGGCAACTTATTACACCTGAGGATTTTCCATTTTTCCTGGCAACACCACAGCATTGTTTCTCAAACTTTGATCAGCATTATTCACTATGCTGTCTATCTCATGAAGTACTGCTGAATGAACAGCATATGTCAGTATAGCCATACCATGGCATAAACAAGACTTATGAGTGAGGGACCACTGTGGCTTCAAGGTGAATAGCATTGGCTAATATGGTCCTGGTTAAAAAATTGAGGTATAGAAGTTTCCTGTACCTATACATTTCTAGCTTTATGCTTTAAAATATTCATAGAATACTGGAGGGAAAGATGAGCCTAACATTGTGCAAACTATACTTTTTGAATTGGGATTTCACAGTGAAAACAGTAAAGGGATAATAGTCTATTGGAATAAATGAATGGTTCATAGTGGGTACAAAGATGCATCTATTTTTACAATGTATCAGTGTAAATTATGGTATTTCTATGCTATCCATTTCCTCTTTCTCTGATGCATTTTAATAGCATCTTAACAAAGAACCAGACAAATGCATACTTTTTTTAATCGTATACAAACTGAATGATTTGAATCTAGGAAGGATGTCAACAAAAGGTGTCAATCTTGTATATGAATAAAGACCACTTATTAGAGTGAAGTCAAGCTGCAAACTGCAGGTTTTAGCTTCTCAAAACCTTTTAAAAATTGTAAGGGCTAAGCAATAACAAGTGTATTCTTGCAAGGTAATATGGCTGATAAAAGACAATCAATTGAGATAGCTCACTCAGGAAAGTAGAGACCTCTTGTTAAATGTTGTACATGAATAGAGGTACTGTAATAAGCAAGAGACTTTGAGTGCATGAGGAGACATTGAACATAGGTGAAAGCAGCAAAACTTTCTGATTCAATAATAGTTTCATAGTTTCTAGGGTAGGAAGGGACCCGAGTAGATCATCTAGTCTGACCCCCTCCCATGGCAGGAAAGAGTACTGGGGTCAAACGACCCCAGCAAGGTGTTCATCTAACCTCCTCTTAAAACCCCCCAGGGTAGGAGCCAGCACCACTTCTCTTGGAAGTTGGTTCCAGATCCTAGCTGCTCTGACAGTGAAGTAGCGCCTCCTGATATCTAACCTAAATCTACCCTCTGCCAGCTTGTGACCGTTATTCCTGGTCACTCCTGGCAGTGCTCGGGGGAACAGGGACTCCCCCAATGCCTGCTGATCCCCCCTGACTAGTTTATAACAGGCCACTAGATCCCCCCTCAGCCTTCTCTTTTGGAGGCTGAACAGGTTCAGGTCCCGTAGCCTCTCCTCATAGGGCCTGGCCTGCTGTCCCCTGATGATGCTAGTAATAATACGTGCCTGCAATGCTTATTTGATATAGTTTTAGTAACTATACCATGATATTGTGGCTTATTTCTCAGCTACAATTATGGCTTTGAAAAGTAAAGGTAGATGTCACTTCACATGGTCTACAATAGTGGTGATGATAAAGTTCATGAATTGTGGTGATGCTTTGTGCACTTTAGAGACTGAGATCCTTCATGTGACAAATTGCAATGAAACTTGTGTTAGAATATACCTTCCTCAAGAAACCTCCTAATCACAAGTCTAAATTCTTCCACAAGGAAATTCACTAGCCTGGTATCTGATTCTGGGGAATGTCAATGCATTGAATGCATCTTGGAATGTTAAATTACATGACAACGCTTTGAAAGTTGTTCAGAATTAGTCCCATATGCATCAGCCTCTAAGGGTATATCTACATACATTAACAGGGGTCGGCCTTGTCGCAGGGCACTGAAGTGCCTGCTCCTACAGAAGGACAGGTGTGGGTTGCCAGGGCAACCACAGAGGTCAGCTGATCGGAAGGGGGCAGGGCCAGGCCTATATAAACAGCCTAGGCTGAGGCCAAGAGGTGGTTCCCCTCTGGCAGTTGAGAAAGAGAGAGCTCTGCTGGGAATAGGCAGAGTTGAGAAGACTGATGGCCTGAGCAGCTGATGGGCAAGGATACCAGGTAGAGGAACCCCTGGTAGGGATTGAAATGACAATTAGCCAGAGGGCTTAGGGTTAGAGTTTTTAGCCAGGAGGCTTGGGTTTGAGTTAGGGCCGATTGGCTGATGATTTTTGTTTGTTGTTACACCAGAGGACCGGGTGAGGCTGTAGGGGTTGGAGGAGGCCTCATAGGAGCTCCCCAGTTGCGTGGGGGTTCCTGGTGCCAGAGAGGGCACAATAGTTAGGAGGGGCACTGACCCCAACCCTGATAAGGGGGGTTCAGTGCAGTGAGGGCCAGGTAAGGCCGAGACCGCCTGAGCCCTATAGTGGAAAGCCCCAGTGGGGCAGAGGACCCAGAAAGGGGGTCTGGGGGCCAGGTAAGGCAGAGGCCGCCTGAGCCCCAATTGTGAGGAGCCCTGGAGAGGGTGAGCACACTGTGAGGAGCCCTGGAGAGGGTGACTGGATAAGAGAAGAGGGAAATAAGCCTGGAGGGTGTCTGTGAGGACGCGGGCAATAGCAAGTGACTCAACAATGTCCAGTACATCTGAGAGGTTTGGGACATGGTATTAGAGGTGGTAGGAGCCACGTATAGCCCTGTGGCAGGAGTGCCCAGGATTATCGGTAGACGGGGTACAGGCAGGAGTACGCCTGGGGACTGTGCCAAGGAGGACAGAAAAGGCAGCCTCCCTTTAACCATATTACCAGCAAAGACGTGGTGGGCGAGAACGAGGGTGCTCGATCGCCAACCTGGCACGGTAGGGGGTGCCAGGAGATATCGCGGCCGCTCCTGGGTCCCCATGCTGTGACAGGCCTATACAAAGAGGACATCTACACTTAAACTTGACCTCTGGTGGTAGTCAAGCCTGAGCCTGGACGCTTTGCTGAACTTTTGGGTGTGAGGTTATCCCATTCCTTTGAGCACTGGGTTTTGGTGTACAGGAAATTTGCCAGTAGACTAATTCCTGGAACAGGTCTAGAGGGGAATCTGGAATACTTCTGAAGGGCACGCTGAAAAAATAGGAAGTATGGTTGGAATGACTTTGCTGTTGACTACATGGTATGATGTAGAAGGGAGAGATGGCTCATCAGGCTTGGGCTGGTTGAGAGCAACCTCGAGGTGGACCCTAAATATCAGTGTATATGTGCATTTAGAGACCAGGTGAATTGACTTTGACTTCCATGCATTTGAGACAAGCAACTGGATCCTTGGGTCCAATCCAAGGATGCTGAAGTCATTAGAAAAACTGTCTCTGATATCAGGAGGCACTGGATCAGCGTGTGTGCATTGCTTTAAGGGTTTAAAACAAAACACCAGACAGTAGGTGGCACTAAAAAAGGTTACATTTTTATGTAAAAACCTTTTACTTTTATTTAAATATAGAATTCATGACTGGAGGAACAATTTTTACCTAGTATATGTAAAATAAAATACATACAATTTCATTTTATTAAATATTTGTGTTTTGATTACTTTATATAAATACAAATACTTCGTCCTCTGTGTTTTAAAGTTATTTTATATGCAAAGTTAGCTTTTCTGGTATCAAATATGTATAATGTATTTTCTAATACAATTTTCTTCAGCTTTATTGTCTGTTCCTGCATGGACTTTTAAATAACAATAAAACACATTTAAAAAAATTCTCAGTCACCTTTATTAAAAAACCACTGTCCATCAGAGACCACTTCTTTTAGGTCCCCTTAAATGTTCACTTAACATAAGTTTGGCTTTACAGCATGTGGCAAACTTTTTTTTTTTTTTTTTTTTT